TTTTTGTTTTTGTTTAATTTTATGGAATCATGCCATGGAATTAAGTATTGAATTGGCTGATAAAGTGAGCTCTGCTAGCACAGAATAGCTACAGTGATATAATAGGGACATATTAGCTACATGGCCTTGGGCAATTCACTTCCCCTCTTGGAGCCTTTGTTTCCTTAGCTGTGAATGGGAGTGGTAACGTTCCTCATCCTTCAGGTGATTGTGAAGTTCAAGTGAGGACACATATACAGCACCAAGCTCACTGTCCCACTTTCAGGAGTGATTATTCAACAGCTGCTGTCCCAGTCTTTCCCCCACCCTTGGATGTACACTGTCGGCTGCCTCAGGCCCCTGTAAGTTGACACAGATGCCCACCTGATCTTGAGTGAGTGGCTCCACTTCCTCAGTGTCCTGGATGACAAGGCCTGTTCCAGCTGCCCCATCTTGTCCTTTTTAGGGAGGACAAAGAAGGCCACGGTGTCTCCACTGTAGTTCATCTGCAGCACTGAGCAGTTCAGCTCCGAATCCACAGCAAAAGCAAACTGCTCCATCTGATGCATCATTGGGACCTTCACAGCGGTCCTCTTGTCCACCAGGAATGGGTATCTTTTGCTCGTATACAGAGGGTTAAAGGGCTTCTCCCACTTGGCTGACACAAAAAGAGAAGAAGTCTTTATGTCACAGTGCAATTAGTGAGGTGAAGACAGCAAAAACGGTGAAGTAAGGGCCTCTGACAACTCTCTCCTCCATAAAAGCAATAAGAAAATGGCCAACAGCGGTTAATGGAAATTAACCAGATGCTGTCAGCAACTGGGAAAAAATTTATTTAGGAAAAACAGCTAAATCTTAGTAAGAACAGTGAACTTCATGGTATTTTAACATGCTTTCATTCCATTCCCCACACCCAGCTCTTCAGTAGCCTTGAAAAATAATAGCATGAATTTGCAGTGAATTCCAGTAAACTGACAGGCACTAAAGTTAAAAAATGGGCTGGAATCCTTTCAAAGACTCATTCCCAAAGAATTGTCATTATTCGAGCTGTCTTGTGCTTCCCTGAAAGACCTCACTTGCAAAACTCTCTGTATTTGATCTGACTTGGAGCTCAACTAATGCAAAAAGCCATTTCCTCAGGGATAATTAGTCAAAAATAGTTATAGGCAGTGATAAATTTTGCAGCTGCCTCAGACAATGGATAACAGTTGGGGAAAACAATTGACTAATCAAAAAGCTTAACAGGACAGGCTGGGGGTGATGGTGGGGGTGGCATCCACAAAAATGACAAAGTAAGGGCCTCTGCACATTTACCCTGTCATAAAGGCAACAAAATAAACTGTCAAAAATAGTCAGCTTTTTTGGAACTCAGGAAATTAACTTAAGGCTTACAGCAACCTGGGAAAAGTTTATTTTTTAAAAAATGGCTGAATCTTGATGAGAACAGTCAATGTTGTAGCGTTTTAACCTGCACTAGTTTCATCCTTCACTCTCTAGCTCAGCAGTTGCCTTGAAAAATAGCAGACTGTATTCCCAATACCAGACAAAGAGGAACAGAGCTGGAGAAATTTCAAAGCCTCATTCCCAAAGAATTATAATTATTTGACCTGTCTGATAGTTTCCTGGAAGACCACTCTTACAAGGTTGATTGGAGCTCACTCAGTGCTAAAAGCCTTCTTCTCTCCGGGTCAGGGAGTATTTGTTAGAAACAATTACAGGCGAGTGTTTTAGCTTCATGGTTGCCTGGATGAGGATAACAGATGGGACAAACAATAGACTAACCAAAAAATTTAAAAAGAAAACTGAGAAAAAAGATGTCCATAGAGACTTTAGAAAGTATACCCTGGGCATTTAGAGACTGTATGCATGTGTAAAGCTGTATGCATATTTGAAAAAAAAATATGAAAAGGCTGTAAGTTCTTACCTCTGGCTGATGTTGAGGGTCTGCAGAAACAGAAAGTGGGGGGCTGAATCAGAGTTAAATCTGCCTTGCTGAGTGTTGATGGCCTGCCCCATAATGGACACAAAAACCCCCTGCAAAGACTGGGATATTTATTTGTTGCAGACATTTAAGACATTTCTGCCCAATCATAGCTGATTACTTAACTAATCAAGAAGAGACTTCTGTGGCCACACATGACCAAGTACAGACTTTAAAAAATTCGTTTAAAAAATCATCAAATAAACAATTACTGCAACAAGCAACAGCAACAACCCTGGGGTGGGGATGGGGGTGGGTGGGTAGAATCTGGCTTTCGGAGTTGCCACATTACATTATTTTTAAAATCCAGCTTTTACAAAAACACATGAGGTTTGAAAAGTAACAAAGCATGGTCAATACACAGGAAAAAAACAATCTACTAATATCAGAAATGAAAGAAGGAACACTACTACAGATGCTAAACATTAAAAGGAAAATAAAGGAATACTACGAACAACTCTATGTCCACAAAGTTGATAACCTAGATAAAACAGTTCAATTCCTTGAAATACACCATTTGCCATAACTCACATAAGAAGTAATAGACAATGTGAATAGGCCTATATCTATTAAAGCAATTGACAATGATAACTTTCCAATACATAACACCAGGTCCAGGTGGATTCACTGGTGAGTTCTACCAAACATTTGAGGAAGAAATGATACCAATTTTCTACAATCTCTTCCAGAAGAAAGAAGCAGAGAGAACACTTCTTAATTCATTTTATGAAGCCTGCATTACCCTAATACCAAAATCAGACAAAGACATTAAAAGGAAAGAAAACTACAGGCCAATATCTCTCATGAACATTGATGCAAAATCCTCAACAAAATATTAGGAAATCAAATCTGCCAAGGTATAGAAATTTGTCAATTCTGCCCAATTTGATTTATAGATTTAATGAAGTCCCGATCAAAATCCTAGCAAGATATATTGTACATATCAACAAACTGATTCTAAAGTTTATGTTAAGATGCAAAAGACCCAGAACAGGCAACACAATATTGAGGGAGAAGCATGAAGTTGGAGGGCTGACTCTAACCAACTTCAAGATTTACTATAAAGCTACAATAATCAAGACAGTGTGGTATTGGTGCATGACAATAGACAAATGGATCAATAGAACAGAATAGAGCTTAGAAATAAACCACATGAATATAGTCAACTGAACTTTGACATCATATGCAAAATAACGAATCTACACACAGGTCTTTACACCCTTTGTAAAAATTAACTCAGTGGGGGTTGGCCAAGTGGCTCAGCTGGTTAAGAGCTCGCTTGGGAGCGCCAGCTCTGAGCAGCAGGGCTGCGGTTCGGATCCCACATTGAGGGCCGGTGACACTCGCCCTCTACAGCTAAGATGATGAACAACAGCTCGACCTGGAGCTGGGCTGCTGTGAGTCGCCGGCAATGGCGTAGGCTGCAGCGGGGCTGCAGTGGGCTTCTGTGAGCTACGTGAGTGGCCGGCAGCCAGTGTGAGCGGCCGGCAGCCGGTGTGAGCGGCCGGCAGCCGGTGTGAGCTGCCGGGAGCCGCTGTGAGCAGCCGACCAATGACCGGTGACCGATTGCCTCACCTGGATAGAGCACAACATGGGCCAGTGAAGCGACGTCCTCCACAACTAGACTGAAGAAAAAAAACAGCAATTTGTCTACCTGTCTGTTCCCCTTCCCTGATTCCCCCAATGCTGTTCTCCTCCCCGCAATTCCCCAATAAAATCTTAAAAAAAAAATTAACTCAGTGGATTACAGACCTAAATGTAAAACACAAAGCTATAAAATACCTAGAAGATAAAATAGGAGAAAACCTAGATGACCTAGGGTATGCCGATAACATTTTAGATATAACATTAAAGGCACAATTCATAAAAGAAATAATTGATAAGCTGGATTTCATAAAAATTCAAAACTTCTGCTCTGAAAAGGCAATGTCAAGAGAATGAGAATGCAAGCCACAGATAGGAAGGAAATAGTTTCAAAAACATACACCTCATAAAGAACTGTTACCCAAAACATACAAAGAACTCTTAAAACTTAACAACAGAAAATAAACAACTGGATTAAAAAATAAGCCAAAGACCTTGAAAGGCACCTCATCAAAGAAGATATAGAGATGGCAAATAAACATATGAACAGGTGTTCAATATCATATGTCATCAGGGAAATGCAAATTAAACCAACAATGAGCTATCACTATACACGTATGCAAATGGCCAAAATCTGGACCGGTGACAATACCAAATGCTGACAAGGATATGAAGCAACAGGAACTTGCACACTCTGCTGGTGGAATACACAATGGCACAGACGCTTTGGAAGACAGTTGGTGGTTTCTTTCAAAACCAAACATACCCTTGCCACATAATCCTGCAATCATGCTCCTTGGGATAAGGAATTCTGTGAACACATCACAGAAACACCTGCACATATTCTATGATTCTAGTTATATGAAATGTCCAGAATAAGCAAGTCTATAGAGACAGAAAGTAGATTACTTGTTGCTGAGGAAAGACCAGGCTTGAGCAGTGACTCCTAGTGGAGGGGAGGGTTCTTTTCGAGATGATGAAAATGGTTTGGAATTACACAGTAGAGGTATTTGCACAACCTTGCGGATGTACTAAAAACCAAACCCCATCGAACTGTATTTTAAAGTGGTGAATTTTATGATTTGTGAGTTATATTTCAATAAAAAATTAAATTAAGTTAAATGGAGCAACATATATTAAGTGCAGGAAACTTAGTAGGGGCTTGAAGCGTATTAATTGTTTTTTTCTTCTCCTCCCACTTTGCATAATAGATGGATAAATGGGTGGAAGGATGGGTAAATTGGTGGATACAAGGCTAGATGGACAGATAAATGGGTGGATGGGTGCATGAAAGGAGGGAGAAAGGAAGGGAAGGAGAGAGAGGAAAGGGAGGGAGGGGTTGTGCAGTTGCGTCCATGGTAACTCTACCTGGAGAGTTCAGGCACTTCAGCCACAACAGCCCTATGAAATTGGCTTTATCATCCACCCACCCAGTTAGCATAAAGGCTGGCTTGTGCATCAGGCACTGAATACTTAACAGGCCTTTTAAAGCAACATCTCTTGGACCATGGAGTGAGCAAGGGGCAGAGGTGGCATTCAAACCCAGGGTTGTCCAACATTAAAGCTGAAGCTCATTCTAATGAAAGTGTCTTTGTAAACTGTGAAGCTCTAGACGGATGTACAGGGGATGTGAATGACAGCTCTACTGGCCTGTCTGCACCTCCACACCTATGAAAGTGCTCTTTGAAATTGCTTCTTACACTGGGGTGTCGGAGTTCTGCGTTCCTCCTCTAAACCTTCAGGGGGCAGTAGGGCAGCTACTGGTGGCAAGAGATAAGGTCCTTTCTCCCAAGCTAATTTCCAGAAGACTTTTCCCAGGGGCTGCCCACTGAGCCCAATGTTAGCCCCTCAGGACACATAACCAGGCTATACAAAGACAGAACTGAATGAGCCCCCATTGTCATTGACAAATTGAAGCTAAGAGAGGGAACATGAGATGTCCAAGGTCATGCAGCCAGCTTGTTCCACAGCTAGTTAGAACTTAGGCCTTCCCACTGCTCCTCCCTGCTGTCTAGGGTTTGTCTGGCTTGCTTATTTGACTCGGGGGGAAAGCAACAGAACATTACAGTCAATATCAACTCTCGGAGCCTTACCTTTAAAGAAAACGTGGTTCACCAAGACCATGGCGGTCAGAGGTTCAAGGTCTTGGATTAGGTCTATAATCTTCCCTTTGGTCTCCTTCTCCACATATCTGTTGATCCTCTGCCGGGCAGTGGAGGGGTTGGAGAAATCTGTAGAAAAGACTCTCGACTCATACAGCGTCTTGACATTGTCCAAGAAATTTCTCTGCAGCTGTAGCTCCTTTTTGATAAAGAGGACACTCCCCATCTTCAAGTCCAGGTGTTTGTTGGGGACACTGAGTGAGTGAACCAGATGCTGGAAGCCCTGATGAATGGTGGACTCTGGCGTGTGTGTGAGGTTGAACCCCATGCTCTGAAGGATCTGGGTCTTGGTGGCCGAGTGGGCCCCGAGGGAGAGCATGGCCAGGGAAGTGGAGACGCTCATGGGGGAGAAAAAGATGTTCTGACTTGGGGTCTTCAAAGCCAGCCTCCGGTACAGGCGAAAGGCAAAATTGATGTTGCTGGAAGACAGCTGAGAGGTGGGGGTGCTCTTTGTGGGGGAAAGTCGGGGGGATCCTCTGCTGGGGGGACAGGATGGGGACACACAATAGATTGGCACACAGAGGCTAATGATGACTAAGAAAACTCGATAAAAAGAAGATGCCATCTTGGAACAAAGTAAGTCTGCAAGAGAGGAAAAGAGCCATCAGGAGATACAAGCTGAGGGTCCATCCCCTTTACCAGAGACTTTGCAACACTCCACACCCTTAGCAATTGAATGGGACAAGCTGGACAGTGAACAGAGCGGGTTCTGTTATATAATCTCTTTCGAGTTTCACGATAACCCCCTGATGTAGATATTGTTGTCTTTGTTTTACAAATGAGTATACAGGCCTCAGAAAGTTTATGTAATTTATCTTAGGTCACACAGCTAGTCTGTTGTGCCTGCAACTCAAGGTCAGGTCTCAAAACCCAAATCTCAGATTCCGTGTTGTTTGCTTTTTCTGCTTTGTAGGCTTATTTTTAAAGAAGTGAAATAGTGAAACCAGATTGCAAAGTGCCAGAAAATGGTATCTTACCCCTCGGAGATCCCTCCCTTCTTTGTCCCTTCTGTGTAAATCTGATCATTTTCTCACTATGATCAGATCTACACAACATACCGGTAGATGCCCAGGGTAGACATCCCCAGCCACAGGCATTTACTGGCTTGTTGATGTCCCTCAAAAAGGGGAGACAAGGTCAGGAGTCTGTCCTGGAACTGGGTCCTCCAAGGACCCTGAGTGCGGGCTGCTGATGAGCTCCTACCTGTAGCCACACCTGCCTGCCCCCCACCTCCCCCGCCAGGCCTTATTCAGCAAGACTGTGGCATCAGGGAGGTTTTAGACTAAATGACTGAAAGGTACTTGGAGACTAGTAGTTTTGGAGTAGGAGAGGATTGGGCTTGCACCCAGATCTGACATTCAGATGGGTGTTTTTAACTTCTCTGAACTTCAGTTTTCGTTTTCTGCTATGTAACATAGGATGATTATCCATACCTCCTAGAGCAGGGGTCGGCAAACTGCGGCTGGCGAGCCACATGCGGCTCTTTGGGTATGTTCCATCTCAAAAGTTTGCCGACCCCTGGAAGAGCCAATCCTGTCCCTCGTGACAATTTAAAAATTATTTGAGAGCCATAAATGAATTTTTACATAATCACCATTCTGTGAATAATAGCCTTTAAAAATTTTATAAATATAACTATGATAGTTTTATTTTCAGTTTCAATTTTACTTCAGAGCCTGTGGCTCACAAGCCGCAGTTTGCTGACCCCTGGCGGCTCTTCCATCTCAAAAATTTGCCGAGCCCTGCTCTAGAGGATCGAATGTGATCAGGTCACTTGTCTATGTCATGCCCATTCTAATGGAATGGCCACATTCCCAACGACCTCTGTTGAAACTGAATTCATGTCGAGTGAGTAGTACTTGATTATACCAGGTTATGATTGAAACTAGAAGAAACTATATGAAGAATATTTTTGGTACAATGAGTAATTCTTTGGGGGGAAATTATGGCTGTCTCCATTTCCATTTACTGGACTGGCAATTTTTGTTTTATTGTTTTGTATCTGTTTGTCTGACTAAAGTGGAGTTTTCTCTCTAAGTTACATTCACATATATCACGGATGAGGTTGGACAATTAAGTTTGCAAACTTTTCACTGTGTAAGTGCACAGTGGAAAGTCCGCGAACTTAATTGTCTGAACTTTTTTTTGGTATATCTAGCTATCCATCTACTGGACTCTTTATCCGCATGTCCTAAACTGACCTCCTAAACTATCCCTCCCCCTGAGTCTGCTCGTTCTTGTCTCTTCTCCAAGGTGGTCACATTACCCTGCTGTCACCCAAGTCAGAAGACTGACCACCGCTCTGCATTCTTGAGTCACCCTCCTTCCCCACACCCAGGACGTGGCCAGCCATTCTTCCTTCCTGAGGCATCTCCAGCCCCACCTTCTCTCCACCTGCTTGCCCTTCTCTTGGTCCAGACCCTCTGCATCGCTTCCCTGAACGGCCCCAAAGGCTTCCGGACTCATCTCCTTCCCTCCAGCCACGTTCCCTCAAATCGATTTTTCTCCCGGTTGCCGAAGTGAAATCCACCCGTCTGTCTCTGCACAAAGACCATCTCTTGGGGGAGAGAGGCCCAATGCTCTGTGTGGCACATGCCCTCTGAGAGTTGGCCCCTTCCCCTCCCTTCAGCCCCACTGCCCACCAGTACACCCATCCGCAGCCCTTCTGCACTCCGCAGCAATGGCCAGCCGCTCATATCCACCTCCCCTCACCCGCCTCCGCACTCCCCAAACCCCACTCTGACACAACACCCGCTACTCCTAGCACCACTACGCCTTGGAACAAGCTGATTCCTCTCCGGAGAGGCCCCTCCCGTCGCTCATGGGAAAGCCCTTCTTTCTCACTCCTGAAAACGCTACTCAGCCATTTACCTCCGTGAAAGGCCCCCCGACCTCCTTCCCTGTCGTGACTCCATCACTCTCACTCCTCCTACTTCTGAAACTCGATTCACTTCTATTACTGCATGGATTGTCGTGGACTACATGTATGTCTGTCTAATAATCAGTAAGTTCCCTGAGGAACAGACATCATTTATTTAAAATTCATGCATTCGATACATTGAGTTGGACAGGTATAGGCTTTATATGAGGTGTTGGGGCTCCAGTGGCGGACTAAAATCGGGGTCCTTGACCTTCAAGGGCTCATTGGGGTGATGGACAATCAGGCAGTATCACCAGATATGAGAAGTGCATGTGATGGGTGAGTACAGGCTTTGGGCAAACCTCTCATGGTGAAACGGCTTCTGCGGGAAGTGACTGCTGGTTAAGACTTGAAAAATGTTAGTAAGGTGACGGGGACAAGAGGAGAAAAGAGGTTTAGGCCAAGAGAACTGCCTGGACATGGTAGGTCTGAAGAACAGAAAAGTGTCCACGAAACAGAACCTGAGCCCTAGAAAGGCTGGGTGGTGAGAGACAGGCTGCGGAGATCAGAGGCCTCGTGCAGGCATCTACAGACTTGATTCTGGGCCGTCGGACCCACTGAAGGGCTGAGGCAGAGGACTGCCTCAATCCCAATGGAATTTTCAACGACCGTTCTGGGATCTACATGTGTCATCCATTGCTCTACCCATCTCCAGCCCATTACAGCGCACAGTATCGGGGCTTAATAGACACTTGGTCCGCTGGCCTGAGATAGAGAACATTTACACCAGCATCAGAACCAGGGTGGAAGGGAATGATGGAGCGAGAAATGTAAGGCTAAAACCTTGAGTTTTTCCCATTTGATGAGTTCTGTGATAGGCTGGGGATCTCCAAGAAGCCATGTGAGAATGTGGGGTCTGCTGTGCTACCTGGGTAGCAATGACTGAGCAGCAGCACTAGATCTTGACAACCAACCGAAAGTCAGAGCATAAGAGCAATAAATCATGTTTAAAGAATGCAGGCTTGTGCAACTGCCTTTGCATTGTGTCACCTCCCTGAGTCTCACTTTCCCCATCTGGAGAAGAGGGTGGCTCCAGGGAAAAGCGAGAGTCTGTATGACACCCACCATGGTATCTGGCACACAGCAGGCATGAGATCAAAGCTACTTCTCCTCTTGTGATATTTCATTCTTCACTGGGAAGCAGGGTGAAGGCACGGGCACATCCCTGGATATGTGTGACTGTGAGAAGCAATGAGGTTGCAGGAAGAGAATGCCAGCCATGCCCTAGGGGAGAGGAGACACTGCCAGGCACAGAGATGGGGCGCCACAGAGCAGCAGGGTCCTGTACCCAGCTCTGGGCAGGGCCTCCCAGGGGCACCTGCTAACACCAGCTCTGCCTCCCGGAGGGTCTACCTCCCCATCAGCAGACATGGCTTTGCTGGAAGACATCTGACTCCATACACCAAACGCTGCTGAGGGGAGGCCTGCGCTGAGCAGGGGAGGCCTGTCTGAAGCGGTCATCCCTCAAGGAGTCACTAAGGACTCATGTGACCTTAGGCAAGTTGCTGATTCTCTCTGGGCCTCAGGGAGGTGGCCTTAAAGGGCTCCCTTCCTTGACGGTCTGGGCTGTATGTCCATGGGCCTTAAGGACTAGGTCCTTACACTCTTTTTTTTTTTTTTTTTTTTT